GGCCTGGGGTCTCCCAAGACCTGGGGTCTCCCAAGGTTAGGCCTGTCATGGCCTCCTCAGCACCCCGGGGAGCCTCAAGAAAGCACTATGGCTCCCAGAAACACATACCCTGTCACAGTACCAACCCCAGGGAAGGGACATAGAAAACATTCTGGGAGAATGCAGAATAATTGTAAGGGTGAGTGGATTTGGAAGGACACAACTCTGGCTAATATATGTATTACATGATATATACATATGTGATACATATATAATAAATGTCATATATAATATATTATCATATATTATATATAACATATCAATTACATATAAATCATATTTATATATAAACACCTGTACTCACCAATCTCTCCCACTCTTTAGTTCTCTTATCCTTCCCTGTGGCATGGGGTTCTCTCCCCGAAACATTCTCAGTGTAAATTTAGAATAATCATTTTGCCCTTTTGCCTTAGAGAGTATTTGCTTTCCGATCAGGAGTTTCAGGGAAGTGTGGCTCAGAGGTCACCAGCTTCATCGAGGCGTAGCTCAGCCTCGCTTGCTTGTTTTTTCCCTTTCTTCTTTCTCCCTGTACTCTGAGACCCAGCGCCTGTCCTCACTGCATCCTCTTCTTACTGCTCACTGACCCTGGGGTCCCCTACTTGCCCCATGTCCCAGAATCCAGAGGCAGCCCTCTCAGTGGGGAGCTGGGGTGGTCAAGGAGGCCTGAGGAGGAAGAGGGCAAGGGAGGGGGGACTGCAGACTGGGTAGAAAAGGAAACTTCAGCTCAGGACATAACAACTAAAGAGATGGTGGTTGTGGGTAACAGTCAAGGGAGTGGCCTTTGGAGATCAAGTGCCTGGTTTCACACCTCAGCTCTGTCTTTGAGGCCCACAAAGGTAAAATCCCCCGTTTCTCAAGTCCCTAATCTGTAAAATGGAGATAATAAAAGTACCTATGTTATAAGCTGTTGTGAAGGTTAAATAATTATATAGATGAACATGCAAAATGCTCAGAGCTGGGCCTGGCATATAATAAGCACTCAATAAATACATGTATTAGAAATTATACATGTAATTAGGGGCCCAGGACATTTATTTATAAATGAAATGGGGGCTATATCACCATTGGTGCTATTCCTAGATATCTTTGAACTATAAAAAAAGGGAAGAGACAAATTATGAATTTAGCTATGAAAAATTCACAGTATAGAATATAGTTATCTATTGCTGTGTGGCTAATTTTTATTTGCAAAAGAATTATTAGGCACTTTGTGTCAGATAAATTTTGTTTTAAGATTTGGCTACACATTTGACCATACTTTTTAAGTTGTAGATTATTTATTAACAATTTATTCATTATTAAATAATAGTATTTACTAAAAGTAAAATATATACAAATTATATATTCACTCAGCTTCACATCCTTTTCTAAAATCTAAATAAACATTGTGTGGGTGATTAATCTTCTACATTTATTGAGCAACTATATTTAGCTCTGTAAAGTGGGATAAAAGATTGAAATAAGGTCAGTATCTGGATGACGTAAGAGAGTGGGAAGGGGAGGGGTGTAAATCATTGGTTAAAAGTTGGAGTTTTCAATACTAAGCAAAAAGAACAAATCTGGAATAATCATGTTACCCAATGTCAAATTATACAACAAGGTGGTAGTAACCAAAACAGCCAAAAGTTGACACATAGATCAATAGAAAAGAATAGATAACCCAGAAATGAAGCCAAATACCTACCACCAATTGATCTTCAATAGAGCAGAAGAAAATATACACTGGGGAAAGAATGCCCTATTCAATAAATGGTGCTAGGGAAATTGGGTAGCCACATGTGGAGGAATGAAACTGGATTCTTATCTCTCACCAAATACAAAAATTAAGTAAAGATTGGTCAAAGACACGAATAGAAGACCTGAAACAGTAAAAATTCTAGAAGAAAGCCTAGGAAAAGTTCTTCTGGACATTGGTTTAAGCAAATAATTCATGACTAAGACCACAAAAACAAACAGAGCAGAAACAAAAACAAATGGGGCTTAATAAAACTAAAAAGCTTCTGAATAGCAAAAGAAATATAATCAACAGAATAAATAGAAAACTTACAGAATAGAAAAAAATATCCTTAACTATTCACCTGGCAAAAGACTAATATCCAAAGTCTACAAGAAACTCAACGAACTCAGCAAGAAAAAACAAAACAAAACAAATAATCCCACTAAAAAGTGGGCAAAGGACATGAACAGACATTTTTCAAAAGAAATGAAAGATGAATGGCCAACAAACACCTGGAAAACATGCATCAGCTAATCACCAGGGAAATGTAAATGAAAACCACAATGAAATACCACTTTACCCCTGACGTATTGGCCATTATTTAAAAGTCAGAAAACAACAGATGGTGGTGTAGAGGCAGTGAAAAGGGAAAGCTTATACACCATTGGTGGAAATGTAGATTAATACAACCTCTATGGAAAATAATGTGGAGATTTCTCAAAGAACTAAAAGTGGATCTACCGTTTGATCAAGAAATACAACTACTGGATATCTATCTCAAGGAAAGGAAATCATTGTATAAAAAAGGCGCATGCAATCATATTTTATTGCTGCCCAATTCACAATCACAAGGATGTGGAATGAAGCTAAGTGCCCATCAACGGAGGAGTGGATGAAGAAAATGTGGTATAGATACGCACAAAATACTACTCATCCATAAAAAAAGATGAAATAATTTCTTTTGTAGAAACTTGGGGGGAACTAGAGTAAAGTAACATGGGAATGGAAAACCAAATACCTTCCTTAATAAGTGTGACAACCTTGGGGTGCATACAGGTATATAGAATTGTACAATGGACATTGGAGACTCAGACTAGGGAAAGATGGGGCAATGAGAGAAGAAAAACTACCTAATGGAGGTATTATACACTATTCAGATAACGGTACACTAATAACCCAGGCGTCACTACTATACAATTCATTCATGCAACAAAAAACCCACTTGTGCCTCTACATCTTTTGAAATATTTTAAAAAAAATTGATAGGCTTTTGGATAGAGGTTGACTCTCTTATACTTATTGGAATTTTCCTTCTCTTTTCTTGTTTGACATGGGTGTTGGTATGTTTGTGAACACAGAAAGAGTTACACAGTGCTAACAAGTAATGAGAAAAATAAAGCTTTTACTCCCACTCCTTCATGTCTGCTCTTATTTTATTTTATTTTTGAGACAGAGTCTCAAGCTGCCACCCTGGGTAGAGTGCCATGGCGTCCCAGCTCACAGCAACCTCAAGCTCTTGGGCTTAAGCGATTCTCTTGCTTTAGCCTCCCAAGAAGCTGGGACTACAGGTGCCCGCCACAATGCCTGGCTATTTGTTGTTGTTGTTGCAGCTGTTATTGTTGTTTCAGCTGGCCCAGGCTGGGTTCAAAACCCGCCAGCCCCACTGTATGTGGCGAGTGCCCTACCCACTGAGCTACAGGCAGTGCTGCCTGCTGTTATTTTTAGACCTTCTATTTTTAAAAAAGCTATAATCATAGGATCCCCATTTACCATCTCTGTCATTTAAACTGGACAAGATGCAGAGATGGGGAGTGTATACAGAGCCACCCAAAGGGACGGCCAATAGGAAGGGCAGGAATATGGATATTATATACATCCCCTCAGTTGCTTTTGGATGCAACTTTCTTTAATTTGTATTTTTTACTATAAAACTCAAAAAGGGTCACTGCAAAATTTAGAAAATGCTGAAGGATATAAAAATATCTCTGAATCCTGTCATCCAGAGATGACTGTTAACGGTTAACATTTTGGCAGAGTTTTTATTATTTACACGCTTATGTTTTTAAAATTTTAAACAAAAATTGGATTAATTACGTAGGATGGTATATAAGTTTTATCTTGTTTTGGCCAAACAAACCATGAACATTTTCTAGATATGAACATCCAAGTCTATTTCTCATTTTTCTTATTTTTACAAAACAAGGCATTATTCCAAGAATTTGAGTGGAAGATATTCTTTCTAGTGATTTAGGCATACGTGGTTCATGGCATTTGAGAATTAATATCCCCATTATGATTTATTCCCCCGTGAGACAATACCCTTTAGATGAGTTGGCAGGTGAAAGACAAAGAAAAAATGAGTATTGATCCATTATGGATGGGTATGGGGAAGAAATTGAGGGTACTGGACCACATATGACAAAACTATTCTTAGCTGGCTGTGTTTATGAAATTCTGATTGCTACCGTAATTACATGAGAGACACGACTGAAAAAGCTTTCAGAAATTTTAAAAACATAGACTTTATTGTAATAGAACTTAAAAATCATGCATTTGTGTCCTGTTAATAAAATTGCATGTAAAATATAAAGACATGGGCGGAGGAGAATGAGCTTCAAGGGATAGAATTTCTGACATCATTGTAATTTTAAGCCGTGTGGATATTCCCGGGAAAAATTGTGGACACCATTGGGGATTTCCTCTTTACTGGATTTGGACAATATCCTCCTATTATTCACAGGAAGCAATCTCCACTACAAAAGGGCATCAGCAGAAGCGTTTGGCTGTTCTTGGCTGACTGCACTTCAGAACGGCTTACCGACCCGAGACAGAGCAGCAGAGATACACACTAGAGGAATCGACACTCAATCACTCCCCACAGCAGTAAGTACAGAATTCTTCACGACTGCACTCTGCGTTCACGAAACATAGATTTATCAACATGAGCAGGTCTGCAAAAAGCCTTCTGAGAAAAATCGTACCTGTACAAGCTCTTACTATGTTGTGGCTACTTGTCTATTCTCTTTGACTTAAATGATGAAAATCTTAAATTTTGCTTTCATTCGTTAGACTCAACTTCTTTGAAATAAGCAAAGATTGTGGCACTATAACCTGTTACCTTAAATCTGGTGGTAGATTGATGTACTGGATTAGCCAGGATTTCCCTCCTCAATCAATTTTGTACTTTTTCTCCCCAGGAAAGTACTCCGAGTCTAATCCTTTGGTGGAAAGAACTCTTGAAGTCATGATTGCATCCCAGTTTCTCTCTGCTCTCATTTGTGGTAAGTCAGCGTATTAGTGAGACCAGACGTTTTCATCCTTGTACTATTGAAATTTCAGACTGGAGCATCTTTTTTTTTTTTTTTTTTTTTGAGACAGAGTCTTACTATGTTGCCCTGGAGAGTGCTGTGGTATCACAGCTCACAGCAACCTCCAACTCTTAGGCTTAAGCAATTCTCTTGCCTCAGCCTCCCAAGTAGCTTAGACTACAGGCACTTGCCACAATGCCCGGCTTTTTTTTCCGCTGCAGTTGTCATTGTTATTTGGCTGGCCCAGGCTGGGTTTGAACCCACCTGCCTCTGTGTATGTGGTCAGTGCCCTACCCACTGAGCTACGGTGCCACCTGGAGTATCTTTCTTGTGTGGGGCTCTCCTGGGCATTGCAGCATCCCTGAATGCTACCTGCAATGTGTTCTGCACGGGTTAGAGGCAATTTACTTTATTTCTTCATGTCTGTTCTCCCTTTGCCGTAAAGTATTGCTCATATACGATCTACTTCCCAGATGCATTGTGAGGTCACATAAAGTGCCTCATACAGTGCTTGGGAATGCATATTAAGTGCTCAACAAATCTTAGTAGATATTGTTCTACTAAAACGAGTTTACTAATATTAGGTTGTGGTGGGTGAGTACAGGTAATGCAGCACCCAATGGATGGTCAGACACACAAGGGATACCCCATTAGTGGCAGTTTCTTCATACTATTCACTTTTGAAAAGATGAAAAAAGTTTGAGTCATTCCCAGAGCCACAGCAGGCCAAAATTAAGACCAGAAAAGCCCAGTTAACAGAGTTAAACCATAGCAGGAGCTAAACCATATCATTTCGTTTTTATTTCCTATCCTAGTGCTTCTCATTAAAGAGAGTGGAGCCTGGTCTTACAACGCCTCCACGGAAAACATGACTTACGATGAGGCCAGTGCGTACTGTCAGCAGAAGTACACACACTTGGTCGCGATTCAAAACAAAGACGAGATCGCCCACCTGAACTCCATATTGAGCTACTCACCAAGTTACTACTGGATCGGAATCAGAAAAGTCAATAACGTGTGGATCTGGGTGGGAACCCAGAAACCTCTGACGGAAGAAGCCAAGAACTGGGCTCCAGGTGAACCCAACAATAAGCAGAACAATGAGGACTGCGTGGAAATCTACATCAAGAGAGACAAAGACACCGGCATGTGGAATGACGAGAGATGCAGCAAGAAGAAGCTGGCTCTGTGCTACACAGGTACGAGCTCGCGGCACAGCGGGTGGCGGTTCAGGGTGTGGGCATCTGGACAAATTCATGGCCTCCGAAAATCAGTCTCTGTAATGGTAATTTTATGTTCTGAAAGATAGGATTTTTTTTTTTTTTTTTTGAG